TCCTTCCAGTGCCCCGGGGCTCCCGCCCCGCTGTGGGGAGCCCAGCAGCCCAACTCCGGCCCTCAGGGGAGACCCCATGAGCCTGCGGGAGCTACAGCCCCCCTTCTGGGGGGCTCCCTTCCAGCTCCGAGACCCAGCCCCCCCAAGGAGCTCAGCAGCCCAACTCTGCCCCCCAGGGGAGCCCCCATGAGCCCGCGGAAGCTGTACCCCTCCCCCCGGGTGCTCCAGCCAGCTCCCAGGCCCCGCCCACCAGGAAGCCGAGCTCTGTGGGGGCTGCATGGAGCCTGCCTAGGTCCCAGACACCCTGTAATTATCCCCTGAGTCAATTACACTAATTACAGTCATTGGGGGAGGCAGCGCCAGGCAGGGCCTTGCACAGCTTAATGAGAGCTCACCCCCCGGGGGGGACTGCTGCTTCTTGGGGCGCACCAAGCAGAGCTGAGAGCCAGGATGGGGTCCCAGGTCCATGGGCCGAGTCGGGGGGCCGGTAAAGGGGGCCACAGAGCACAGGAAGGGGGCAGTGAAGAAATGGGAACCTTGGTAATATTTTTAGGAGGCCCCTTGTGTGCCTCAGTTTCCCTCTGGGCTCGGCCCTGCTCTGCATGGGGTGTAAGGGGTTAAGCAACCGCTCTGGGGCCAGGGGTGGGGCTGCCAATGGAGAGAAGGAGAAACACACCGAGATCCATGGAGGTTCCAGAAAGCTGGGGGGAACCCCAGGAGGGGAGGGTGCCGGGGGGCTGCCCAGGCTGGACTTGCCGCAGGGAGCCGGGCACGCTGGGCACTGCCAGGGAACAGGGCACAGACTAACCCCTGGGCTACAGGACAGGGGGATGCTATGAGGTCCCTGTACTGCCGGGGAGGCACCCTGCCACCCCCACTGGGCTCCCTGCCACCCCTTGCTGCCAAGGGGCACCCTACTACCAGTAAGTGGTGTGCTTGTGCGGGCGCTCAGGAGAGATTCCAAAGCCACCCAGCTGAGGAGCAGCGCGCCCACCGCTCGGTGGGTGTTCCTATTGGTGGTGCACATTCACATGCGCCCTGGTGCACCAAGAAACATTATTCCGCACAGGGATGGAAAATAACTGCACATGGATGGAAGAGATGAGGGGGGACGTTGCCTGCCCCCCTCACTCCTGGGGGCCTCCTGCCCCCCCTCCCCGCCCCCGGGGGGGCACTCACCTCCAGGGTGCAGCGCTTGGCGGGGGGGAGCACCAGGAAGCGCCGGGGGA